CTGGAGCTGAGCTGAGTCACTGAATAAAGGAGCTGTACCTGACTGAGCTGAATTCTGTTTCTTATTGCCTATGATTCAGTCTCTCCAGAGGGGGCTGTCCCTTCGTAAACAATGACTCGCAGAGATCCTGCTTTCGCTGTTCCCGCACCTCCCCTCGTGACCGGTGGCCAACGGATCGCGAAACATAGAGGGAGTGCCCGGTAGCTTGGAACAGAACTCGCCTGGAAGCGCAGCGACCCATAGAGTCGCCAGCATCCAGTAGTCGTGGAGAGCCTCAGCAATGTGGAGAGACAGGAACCTGAACAGCAGGGACCCGAACAGCAACGTGGTGCGCGCAACCTGCCACACCCCAGCGGTGCGCGAGAGACCGGTGCCACGCCCAGCAGCTGGCGCTCCGAGATCCCCGCGCGACCCATAAATTATGTGTATGAGTGTTTTGCCTACATGTGTGAAATGCCTGAGGATGTCAGAACAGGACATCAGATCCCCTGAAACTAGAGTTAGAGATGGATGTTAGCTGCATGTGGGTGCTGGGAACTAAACCTGGGTACTCTACATCAGTACCCTGTGCTTTTAACTGCTGAGCCAGCTCTCCAGCCCCAGAAATTCACACTTTTCTTGATTCTACAGAAGCACTTTGTATTGTCTTTCAACCTCTACTGATTGCTTATTTTTACAGGAAAAAATGAGACTCAAGTAAGTGATTAAATTCTTTCAAGGTAACAATCTAAAGGCAGTGGCAGTGAGTGCATGGTGCTGTGCAAGTACAAATGACCCAGAAAAGATTTGCAAATAAGAACCTCAAGGCTTTCTTAGGGTATTTATGCTCAGAAAAGATACTGGGAGAACAGACACGGGCATTTTTGAGAAGATAGCAATGAACACCCTCTCATGCAAAAGGTCAACAAGTAAGAGTCAGTCTTTTAAATAAAGCCATTCACCCAGGCCAGGTGTCGTACACCTCTAAATCCCAGCACTGGGGAGGCTGAGGCAGGAGGATCACTAGTTTGAGGCCAGACTGAGTTACATAGCAAAACCCATCCACCACTATGTAAAATACATGCTTTTTTTTTTTTCTCTATTTTTTGAGACAAGTTTTTTGAGATAGCTGTAGCCCCAGATGGCCTGGAATTCACTATGTAGACCAGGTTGGCCTCAAACTCACAGAAATCCGCCTGCCTCTGCTGGGATAAAATACATATATTCTAATAAAAAAAATCAAAATATTGGAGATGTAGTTCAATTATAGAGCACAAAGCCTTGGGTTCTATCTGAGCACTGAAAGGAAAAATTTAAAAAAAAAAAAAAAGTCAACCAATCAAACTATCTGTGGCCCTATGAAAAAGTTATGACTAAAATAATGTGTTTTAAAAAGAGAATGTACAAGAAAGAAAGTCTCACACCTGTAATCCCAACATGGGATTTGGAAGGTGGAGGCAAGAGGGTCAGGAGTTGAATTCAACTTTAGCTGCATAGTGATTTTGAGACCCTGCCTGAGAAAAAGAACAGGGGCTGGAGAGCTGGCTCAGAGGTTGGGAGCACTGGCTGCTTCTGCAGAGGACCTGGGTTTGGTTCCTAGAAGGCACACTGTGGTTAAAAACTGTAACTCCAGGGCTGGAGAAATGGCTCAGTAGTTAAAAGGGCTGACTGCTTCTGGCAGAGGACCCATGTTCAATTCCCAGCACCTACATGGCAGCTAACGATCATCTATACCTCCAGTTTGAGGGGATCCAACACTTTCTTCTGACCTCCATGGGCAATGCCCAACATAGGTGCACTTACACACATGCAGGCAATACACTCATACACATAAAATAGAAATAATAAATAAAAATATTTTTGTAAAAAACCAACTCCACAGCCAGGAGTGGCAGTGCACACCTTTAATCCCAGCACTAGGAAGACAGAGACAGAGGCAGAGGGATCTCTGTGAGTCCCAGGCCAGCCTGGCCTAAAAAAACAAAAAAAAAAAAAAACTAACTCCAGTTCCAGGGGAATCCGACGCCCTCTTCTGGCCTCCTCAGGCATTACATGCATGTGGTGCACTTGCATGCAGGCAAAACACTCATACACATAAAACAAAATTTTTAAAACTTCTGGGGGAAAAAAAGCAATGAGGAGAAGGAGGTGGAAAAGGCGGGAGAAGGGGAAGAAGGGGAAAGGACAGTAAAAGATCTTGGGATGTATCTGAGTTGGAAGAGTTGCTTGCCTACCATGCAGGAAGCTCTGGGTATCTAGGCCCCGCCTAAACCGAAGCCAGCTGGGGCTAGAGACCCTGACGAGAAACAAAGGAAAGAAAAAAATAGAGGGAAGGAAGGAGATAAAGAAAAGAAGAAATATAGAAAAGACGGTGCTGTGAACCGGATTCGGGAGGCTGTACACTGGGAATGTGGAAAAAAGGAACTATAAGTGTAAGTCACACAGACATTTGTCAGTGCTATTTCAAAAGCTAGGATGGACCAGGATCGCTAATTTGAGACCTCAGGTTCACTTGGACTGCATACTGGACCCCACACACTAGCCCAGAGTCACGTCGCCACCCTCCGGCAGTCAGTACTGCGGCGCCGGGCAACTCCTAGTCAGCTCCTGCTCGGCCCAAATAGCCAAGCAGGTACGCAACAGGACCCCTCAAGGCCTCGGGGACCGAAGGGAGCCGAACCGAGCCGAGCCGAGCCGAGTCCAGTAAGACACAGCCTAAACAAGCCGAACCCAGCCCAGCCCGGCCCAGCCTAGGCAAACAGGACGGGGCCAAGCCGAGCCGAGCCGAACCGAACCGAGTCCAGCCGAGCGGAGCCGAGCCCGTGGCGGACACCGGCGCAGACTCCTAAGTAACGCCGCAGCCCCAGCCGCGTCACCGTGGCAGCGGGTTTCAACAGCTCCTTCCGATCCCTGGCATCCCTCACCATTTCCGTCTTTCTGGGGGTCCTGGTGCGTCGTCCTCTCCCGCAGACACTGCAGGTCACAGCAGAAAAAGGGCCTGAAGCAAAGACCCGAGATGGTGGTGGCCAGCACAGACCGGATCACCAGCGTCTGTGGAATAAGTACCTTGGTCTGCTTGGTGTTTTTGTGTGGCGGTCCCAGCCCCTTCCAACGGCAAGTCTCATTGGACAGTTACTGAAGCCCCACCCCCTAGTAACAGAGGCGGAAGGTGTCTGAGGACAGAACTCAAACCTCCTTTAGAGTCTCAAACTGTTCCGACTCCACTGTAAGGGGACGAAGAAGAAACTGGGGGAGGGAACATGAAGAAGCCCTTTAGCTATGTTTCTTTTTTCCCTTTTCCTTTTTTTCGGTTTAATTTGCTCTTATTTTATGTGTATGAGTTTGGTCTGCATGTATGGACGTGCACCACGTGCACACACTGCCTGCAGAGGCCAGAAGAGGGCTCCAATCCCCTGAATTAGGACAGTTACCTGCCATGTGGGTGCTGGGAACTGAACCTGGGTGCTCTGCGAAAGCAGCCAGTGCTCTTAACTTCTGAGCCATCTACCCTCCCCTCTTTTTCCATTTTGAGACAGGGTCTCATGTAGTCTAGGCTGGCCTCAAACTCAGTATATAGCCTGGGATGACCTTGAATTCCTGATCCTCACACCTCTTGAGTTGCTTGGGTGTATGCTCTCATGCTGGGTTGAGTTTATGCCATGTTGGAGGTGGAACCTAGGGCCTTGTGCATACTAAACAATCACTCTACCAACTCAACTACATCACCAGTTCATTCCCCCTCTTTTTAAAAAGATTTTATTTTCCTTTATGTGTATGAGTGTTTTGTTTGCATGTATGTAAGTGTGTGCAGTGCCCACGAAGGCCAAAAGAGGGTGGCAGATCCCCTAAGTTAGGATGGTTGTTAGCTGCCATGTGGGTGCTGGGAACTAAACCTGGGTCTTCTGCAAGAGCAGCAATTACTCTTTACCAGTGAGTGAGCCATCTCTCCAGTGGCCGGCACACAAACTTTGTTTGGATGTTGTTGCTGTTGTTGCTGTTGTTGTTGTTGTGAGACAGGATCTATGTAGTCCTGGGCTGGCCTCCAATTCAGCATTCTCCTGCTTCAGCCTCTTAAGTGACAGAATTTCATGTATGGGCCACCACTCCTGGCTGGCCATTTGCTTCTTTTACCTGTGAAAAAGGCACCCATGTTGTGAAATGCCTGCAGAAGCCAGAAGAAAGCATCAGATCCCCTGGACCTGGAGTTTTAAACAGTTGTTAGCCACCATGTGGGTGCTGGGAACCGTACCTGGGTTCTCTGCAAGAACAATCAGGGCTCTTAACCACTAAGAGTAGGGCAGCTCTCTAGCTCCCCCTTCACTTGTTTTTAGCTACTTTTCTCTATGATCAGTTTTACAGGTCACTAAGGAGTGTAGTCCTGTTAGTTTTGCTAATAGCACCTCAGACATACTGGTCCTGATGATATTCATAGATGGCCCATGTTGTCTTTCAGGAACATGGGGGCTGCTTTTTGTTTATGTCAAACTAGTGGAAGCTGCCAACCTTCACTAAGAGCCTGCAGAAATGTCTGTTGGGAACTGGACATGTAGTTCAGTTGGTGGGGTGCTTGCCTAGCATACAAGAAGGCCTGGATTCAATCCCCAGCATTAAAAAAAAAAAAAAAAAAAAAAAAACGCTGGGGGTGATGGCATAGGTCTTTCATTCCAGCACCCAGGAGGCAAAGGCAGGCAGATCTCTGTGAGTTTGACATTAGCCAAGGCTACAACTGAATAAATAAATAAATAAATAAATAAATGGCTGGAGAGATGGCTCAGTGGTTAAAAGCACTGGCTGCTCTTGTAGAGGACCTGAGTTCAGTTCCTAGCACCCCCATGGAGGCTAACAACCATCCATAATTCCAGTTTCAGGGGATCCAACACCCCTTTTCTAGCCTCTGATTGCACTGCATGCATGTAGTACACTTACATATAACCAGACAAAAGGCTTGTACATATAAAATAAATAAATTTAAATTAATTAAGTAACTAAGAAATTATTTATTATTATTAGTGGAGACATGAGTATGGAAACCTGATGAAAACTTTGGGGGGGTCAGCTCGCCCCTTCCACTATACATTCCCAGGATCAAGCTCAGGTGGTCAGACATGCAAGGCAAGTATCTTTACAGCCTGAGCCCTTTCTGGTTCCTGATGGCTGAACTTTTGAGACTAGAAATTCAAAATTCTACCTTCTGCTCACCATAGCACTACCACTTTCTAAAGTTCCATTATGCTTACTTACGCATGTGCAGACCTCAGATATGACAGATTTGAGATTCTATTTTCTGTACTGTTGGAAGACTCAAGGGAAGAAGGGTGAGGCAGGGACAAACAGACAAGAGACCCACATGCTGCAGCTCCTCTAACCATAACCATGGATGGCCCTCTACAAAACCTGGGGAAATCTGGGGCTGTCCAACTTGTTCCACCCGGCAGGTTAGATGGAATTAGGGCAAGCTGCCCCTAAAGGGGCAATGGAATGATTCAAGGCATGTGACGCCAGTCTCCATGACCTCTCTCCCAGCTGAGACTTCAGAGGCAGATGTTGGATCCCCTGCAACTGGAGTTACAGGAAGTTGCCTGACATGGGTGCTAGGAACTGAACTCAGGTCCACTGGAAGTGTGGATAGTGCTCTAAACTGCTGATCCATCTCTTCAGCTCCTGATTAATTTTTAAGATTTATTTTGATATTTTTATATATGAGTGTTTTGCCTGAATGTCAGTATACCACGTGCATTCAGTGCCCACAGAGGCCAAAAGAGGGAGTCAGATCCCCTGAAACTGGACTTACAGTTATTAGCTGCATATATGGGTGCTGGGAACTAAACTGGGCCCTCTGCAAAAGCAGCCAGTGCTCTTCATCAGTGAACCATCTCTCCAACCCTGATTTATTTTACTTTTAATTAGGTTTGTCCGTGTGTCTGTATGTGGATATGTGCACATGAGTGTAGTTGTCCTCAGAGGCTGAGTGAGGGCACTGACCCCTGAGAGCTGGAGTTTTATGCAGTTGTGAATTATGTGAGCGCTGCAAATGGAACCCAGATCCTCTGCAAGAGCAGCCAGTGCTCTTAACTGCTGAGCCAGCTCTCCTGTCCCTTATTTATATATGTGTGTGTGTATGTGTGTGTGTTTGCACAATGAGTGAGTGCAGTGCCCCGAAGCCTGAAGAAGGCGTCAGATCCCCTGGAGCTGGAGCAAAGACAGTTGTGCACCTGGGAAATGAACTCACGTCATCTGCCAGAGCAGTCCACACTTAAACACTAAGGCTCAAGGCTACCCTCACAAAAGTGGAGAACTGCTCAGCAGACCACCAGAGAGTGCCGAGTTCTGGCCTCCCTCAGGCAGAAGGCCTGAGAATGCAGGGGACTGCCTGAGAGCCCCTGGATCCTGCCTCCACGTGGTGGTCCTTTTATTAAGATGCTATACAGCAGTCCCTTCTGCATGAAATAACTACCATTATTACTTCAGCTGAGCCTGATGGCTAAACATCCTCACAATTGGGCTTGTTGATGGTTGTGCTCATTCATTAAAGGAGGACCAAGCAGGCTCATTGGAGCCTCACGGGATTATCCAGCCCCCCTTCCTAGCCAACTGTATGTAATTTGCCCCAAATCACACATGGCCTTCTGGATTTGGGGAGGGCTAAAGCATACAATCTGGGGAAGGCTAGGAAAAGAAGGCATGACTCTTGCTGGGTGAAGGCTTTCCAGTGTGCATACCCTCAGGCCATACATACACCTCAGCAACCCCTCAGTTATCTCAGTAAGTAAGCTCAATAAATTCATTGGTTCCCAAGTAAAACTTTAATCAAACATTGGTTTGACACTAGAACCTTAAAAGGGAATAAGCATTGCTTAGCATCCCCATGAAAAGAAGTCTCACAACAGATGGAAAATTTGTTAATGCTATTATGTCTCATCATTATTTTCTTAAAAGAAAATATGAATGTAAAAGATGCTAAAAGGATACAGGAATGGAGATATTTTCCAAAATAGAAAAAATGAGAAAGCCTAACCAAGTGATAAATGTCTGTGTAGGTTTGTTTTGATATATAAAAGATGAGACAAAAATAATTACACATAATCTTTAATTTTCTATGCTCATAGTTTAGTCAAATAGTTTAAGGAACAAAATATATAATCAAGGTTTATCTGAGACTATATGGTTTTTCACTCAAGCCTTATCTACATAGCACATGATAATTAAAAGTACCAGACTTGTGGAACTAACCTTATTGGATGTTTAACAGCCATAATTTGAGGCCTATACTAATCTGGTCAGAGGGACTTAAAGGACAATTTTTGCCCCTTGCCCTCCAAGGCTGACTAAGTTCCCGAGTACTATGGAATATCTCTCAAAATATCCTGTAACTGTGGTGAGTCACGTGTCCTCCTGTTCAGGGAGGACATGGAGACCCCAGGAGATGGACTTGAACCAGTGTCTAGTCTAAAAGAGGAGGGTCAACGCAGAGGAAACATCTCATCCATGCTTCCAAGTGAAGCCAGACGTGGTTGTGCAGGACCTTTGATTTATCTTCACATAGATGGAACTGGTAAAAGGAGCCAGGAGCTCCTCCCAAGCCCATGTGACCCCTGAAAAACAGATCCTCAAATGCCCTTAAGTGTAAAAATAAATTATTTTGGGCCAACTCTATGGTCTTAAACACCCAAAAGGAAAGTATAACCAAAGAGTAAAGTCATCAGTATATTTCTTTAAGAGTTCAAGAGACAGGCCAGGCTTGGTGGTGCACGCCTTTAATCCCAGCGCTTGGGAGGCAGAAACAGACAGATCTCTGTGAGTTCAAGGCGAGCCTGGTCTACATAGTGAGTTCCAGGACAGCTGGAACTACAGGGAGACCTGTCTCAAAAAGACCAAAAAAAAAAAGAGTTCAAGGGATTACACTTTCCAGACATTAGGCTTAAGCCTATATAAAAAGTTAGTGAGACAATTATTTCTCATTGATGATTTTGTTCCTAACCAGAAAGTGCTGCTCAGATGTAAGACTTCAAATCTTGGTCTCCAATACTTGGTCTCCAATACTGTAGTACCCA